ATATCCATCAATCTTCTCTAAAGTTTGAAAATTTTCCAATAGAAAAAAGGTTTCTAATTTAGTGTGTTCTCTCTTAAAATAATATATGTACTACTTTGAAAATGTTGTAACGTCTGTCAATTCTTTAAAATTTAATGATTAAACTTTTCTCTGACATCCTGTTAGTTATTATCATTATACAAAAACGAGGTCGAACGTCGTACTCGAGGTTGGGATTTAAAGACCGATAGTGTTCTTGAAACTTTCGGAAAGCAAGCTGTGAATCGCGGCGGCGAGTCTGAAATCCAAAACAGGATCAAACTGCAGCCCGGCTTGCCAATGTTTCGGCAACTTTCCGAAACCACTGACAACGGCAGCTGCTTCTGCGCTGCTGCCCCTTTCCGTTTAACGTTCGAGCGGAAACCGAAACAAGCTCCTAGGAAGTTTCACGGCCTAGGTTCGGTGGTTGCTGCGAGTCCGCGCGGCTCGCAACGTGCATTAAGCCTTCCGGTGTTTCCTGTCACCTCGGAAGCGACAAGTTCGGTTGGTGGGAAACTCGATTAATCCGGTCCTCGCTAGCTCATTATTGTAACGTAATCATCTTGTAATTACACGGCTGGTCCGGTGACTTACAAACGGAAACAACATCTCGCCGTTCTTAACCGTTAAAGACCTAGTCAGACCGAGAAGCAGTAAACAACATCGTCAACAGCTTACAATTACGATATTTTGTATTGTAATCATTTTATGGCAAAAAGATGTAGCTTCTCGCTTAATTATACGAAATTAGGACAGGATCACAGAATCGTTTGCTTCTGTGATTCCTTCTTTCTCTAAGAAAAATAATAAGCAAAAAAGGAATAAATTATAGTATTTCGAAACGTAATAACTGCTGATAAATAATTTTATTATTTTTTAATATAATTTCAATATATTCTCTTTATAATCATAATGCGAAAATATTTTATTCGATAAAGTTCACAAATAGAAACGATAGACTTGCTGATAAATATATTATTATTTTTTTATATAATTTCAATATATTCTCTTTATAACCATAATGAAAATATTTTATTCGATAAAGTTTACAAATAAAGAAATGTTTCCCCTACAATTTTGTAAGCTATATTCATATCGAATCTATTCTTTTGCTTCATCCAAAAATTAAATTACTGAACACTCTACAATCATGTAACGACAACTCATGAAAAATTCAAATATTTCTCCCTTAAACAAAAATTCGATTCTGAAAGGTTCACATGTGTGCATCGCCGGATATTTACAAAGTAATATCGTGTGTCACGAAACGTTACTTCGCCAATGCTGTTCAAATTTTAAACTTAAGCTAATTTATAATATAATATATTATACAAGAATACTACATAATACGCAGATTTTATATTTCCGCCTTCGTTAACTGCGCGACTTCCTGCGTGCCAGAAGAATAAAGAAGAAAAAAGAAGCTACCTGTACTCGCTCATGCGCGTTTTTTCTCTTTTGTTGCAGCTCGCGTCCAACAATGAAAAGCCATTATATGCGCTTTATAGGGAAATCCACGATCGCCGATATTCGCGCGGATCAATAGGCGCGGAAAGGATTACCTTTGAAGCGCAGAAGCACAGAGGGAAGGTGGAACGAGGAATCAGCGTCCAGGATCAAAGAAAAACAGCGGGGACTCTCGATTAATTCATCAGAAAATCCCCGAGATAGGCAAAATCTTTTTTCAAAGTGGAAAACGTTCACAGCTCGAATGTCGAAGTTTTTTTTTTTTTAACATCTTCTTTAAAAACTTCGCATTTATTCGGCATGAAATATAACAGCTTGGGTAGCGTTTCGTGTCATTGATCTCGACTATTGAGTCTCGACTTGGACCCTGTGTTAACAAATAGTTTTCGTTTTTTCTCTAACATAAATATTTTTTCTTTTTTAAAATAATACTTTAATTGCAATTGTAATTGTAGAGATAAAATAATCAAAATGTCAAATTTCGAATTCTTTAATTGTGAGAAAACATGAAGTAGCACATATTATAATTTGCGTTATTCGTCCAGGCGTAAAAAACATATATTTTATCTTCATAGAGTTTTATTGATTTCCCAAATCGTTAAACGATATAGAAAGGACGTGACTTTGTCTTTACGTGGAAATTGCTTCGAGCCGGAAACGCTTTGCCTTCCCAGATAAATACGGAAACGATATCCCGATGTATTTGATCGATCAATCGCTTCGGTGATCGCGCGGACGTGGTTACAAGCGTGATTAAACGAAGCGCAGAAGGACACGGTGGCTTTAGGCTGATCGGCGGTGAGCGTTGTGCCAGACAAATGTGATAGAAGAAAATACAGCTTTTAGCCCCCAGATATAGATGTACTCCCCATTCCCTCCTTTTTACCCCAGCCAAGCATCTCTTCTTGTTTCATTATCCCCTTATCTCTCAACGTCCCGATCTCGTTGCTCCTTTAACGCGAGTACCGTTAGCCAAGAGATAAAAAGGATACAGTAACGAGTTATCCGGTGTGTGTCGTAATAAATTTCACTGCATTCTCCTTACGTGAAATTTTACCCTTCGTATTTCGGTGATAAAGAAAATAAGAGATGACAGAATAAATTCCGCATTTTAAAGTCGTTTTCATCATCTTGATGCAAAAATTCTTATCCAAAAATAACAACTCTCGTTAGCAAACTAATTTTTTTTTTATTAACAATTAAAGAAACTTTATTTAAATATGATGAACGCGCTGAAAATAAAAATAAAATGTTACAAGAGAGAAAATATATATTTAAATATATTTGCAGAATATCTTTAATTAAAAATATTAAATGTTCTTTGTGATTTGTTAACTCCATCATTAAAATTCCTATTAGAGTCTAAAAGATATATACTGTTTCTCGTAACAAAGTAATTTGATCTAATATATTTTTAAGTAACTTGTCAAATATATCATTATAATTCCGAGGAGGGGCCACTCTTTCTCTTCGTAATTTTACAGTTTTATTAATCTTCCCTCATTCTCGTTAATAACTTGAGATAAGAATGCTACAGTTCAGAACAAAACAAAGTTCTCGGGTGTTCTTATAAATGATGATGTAAAGACGCAAGGCCGTAATTGCCAAGAGGCACTCTTCGTGATTTTATAGCCTAATTAATCTGCTTCTGTCGGGCTAAGTAGAGGCTATCTCCTCTTAGGGGCAGATTGACCGAACGAATTACTAACGCGCACTACGTATGCGTTATTATTATCCATTTACAAGGTGACGGCGCGCGATCTATCGCAGCCTTCGAAAATGACCTCGATATTGATTATACGTGCCGTCGCAGCTTCACCAACCCTTTATCACCTTATGCGACGACGGGACAGTGGACGGTGTCTCACACTTGTTTAGCAGCGTCCGTACAGCAACCAATTAACGCACGCTCAGTTGAACGCCACGCTTGTAAAACCGCCGTCACGTACCGTACTTATTTCATTCTCCCACATTCACGGAACTTAACTCTCCTTTGCGGCTCAAACCCATGTAATGAAAATTCCTCTATGATGTGTACACACATTTTTTCCCCTATTCCATTACTCTTATTAACTCAAATGTAGTTCAAGGTTGCTACATACATGTAGGATTCAAGCATTTCGCTAATTTTATCTGCTTTTCTCTAAATTAATAAACTTTTTTTAATTACGAAATCTTGTCTTTAATTATCAAGATTCAAAAAGAATAAACAAAATCTGAACAAAACGAGGAGAATATACATATATGTATATGTAAGTTAAGTGTTTAGTTTTCTTTTAATAATAATTTGTAATTTCTATATTTTCTCACCAAAAATTATAATCTATAATCATAATTTATTATATATCTTTATACCGTAATTCCGTCGTAAAAAGTTTTATTTTATTAAATCTATCTCGCGCGAAGAGAATTAGTGCTTTTAATCACAAATTAAGAGAGATAATCAAATAATCTCACTTTAGTTGCAATCTTTATGGCATTCGAAAATGATGATAAACGACTTGATTTCACGCGTAAAATGTAATAAATTTCCCAAAAGCATTAAAGCGTTGCTATCCGATTTTGTTTTCGGATCGTTTTCAAGAAACTTTGACGTGCGATATCTCACACAGAAATATCTTACATCATCATCTATCACAGTCCACCAGCGAGCTTTAGTTACATCTTTTTATTAAAATGACATATTAATATTTGATATATTACGGTGGATGTTCCCTCTTGTTTACGAAACATCCTCGACTTTTCGAGGATCAAAGAGCCGTGATGATAAGCTACGTGCCTACTCGAGGCATGAGGCTTTAATAGCTGACGTGTCAAACAGTTATTTGACTCTTCTGGCCAGCTTGACCAGCCCTCAAGCTACTCTCGGTGACCTATTTCTGCTATAAAGAGACTTTTGTTATACTTCTGACCCAGCCTCGGAACGTTTGTTAATGCAGAAGCGTAGCATACATCTTGATTAAAACAACTTTTAGTAGGAGATAAATTAGTATTGTATCAGAAAATTATAAATTAGTACCAGAAAATTCAAAAACACTTAAGAAAAACAAAAGAAATATAGGTTAAAAAGTTTTCTCGATTAATATTGTTAAAGAACTAAAACTCTCTATTCAAACTTGTATTCAATTTTCAATTTTATCGCATGTAAATGTTAAGTGTGAAAATTTTATCATAAAACTTATAAAGTAAAATTCTTTCTTGCACGTATAATAAAATTATAGCATATTTAACAAGTTACTTATCATTATTAAATTTTATGGTGCACGTTCATCAAATACAATCAAATGTAAGATTGAGTTGTTATAGCAAATATGCTTCGTGCGTGATTTATGAAAACTCGCAAAACTTTATTCTTATTAAAAGCTTCCAAGGGAGAATCCTTGGCTGAGGACGAAAAAAAGAAAAGGCAAAATAATCTGCGCACTAAGGAGGATATAGGAAAGGGAGAGAGAGATAAAGAGAGAGAGAGAGAGAGAGAAGCCATATTCGGCATTACATATAATATCGGTACTCACGTCCGAGTCGGCTCCTTTGTCAGCTCCAGGACACGTGAAGGTCACGTATTCGTGACATCGTTTGTGAACGACGAAACTACATACTGAAACACAAGCAAAATGTGCCCCAAGTTCTTCCTCATGGTCACATCTTGAGCAAGTAGTAGAGCCGATGAGATCAGTCTGACCCTCTTACCTTGGCACTGATATCCCTGTTTCCCGAAGCCCCTGCAATAACAAATGAAATAAACTCATCAGCGGATATCTTGGATAAGCGAAAGAATCAATCGCGTGCCACGGACATCTTGTTGTAATATTACCAACGATCTATATTTATGAAAAATATATAAGAATCTTGTAGATATGTCAGATAACACAGTCCAACGAAAGAAAAAGAGTAAGTATTCCTTGTAATTAATTTATACTCAACATGTGTGGATTTCGACCTCGGAAATGCTCTTTCCTATCACAATTTTGAGAAAATGGAGATTAAAATTCTAAAACTATTAAATATACTAATATACAACAAGCTAATATATACACATCATACAATATATATATATATACAGACAATTTAAAAATTATTAAAATGATCAATTGTCACGTGTGACAATATTATCAATAAAGGAAATTGATTGGAGTTATATAATTAAGATATGTACTAGATTGAAATTAATAAATAATATAATACTTATTGTTATAAGAGCCTCTTAAATTTATATTAGCAAAAATATGAAAAGTATTATAGAATAGATATTATGCACAGGATTATGAGGCGAAAGTTGGCATGGTCACAAAGCACAATGTAATTTTCGTTTTGCGATTTATATGCCGAGAAGAATATGCGTGATTTCATCGTCGACTGCCAAAATAATTTCAGAATCATCTAAGTGTATGTGCTTCGAATTAAGTACAGTTGGTAATACGTAACGCGACACTTTTAGTGCCGCGCGCAATAATGAGAATATGAGAGCAGTGTACTAGTCGGTCACAGATAATATTAGTGCTCTGCGACAATTCTGAAACTATTAATCGAAAAATGCAAGAAGAAACTAATATGACACCAATTTAGGTTACAAAGAAAATCATATTTTATGTATATTATTAGTAACAAAGTATCAAGTTGGTTATAAGTAATAATTTTAATTGTAAGAAATGCACCTTAAAAATAATGTATTTTGAGAAAAAAAACAGATTTAAATATAATGAAATTGCTCTGCGACAATTCTGAAACTATTAATCGAAAAATGCAAGAAGAAACTAATATGACACCAATTTAGGTTACAAAGAAAATCATATTTTATGTATATTATTAGTAACAAAGTATCAAGTTGGTTATAAGTAATAATTTTAATTGTAAGAAATGCACCTTAAAAATAATGTATTTTGAGAAAAAAAAACAGATTTAAATATAATGAAATCTTACATTAAATTAAAATACAAATACAGATACAATATATAAGTTTGATAAATTATTTTTCGACAGTAAATCTAATAAAAGACAGAATTGTATAATCAATGTATAATCAATGTATCTTGTATTTTCTATACAATATTTTCTATGCTATATCTTTTCTCTTCATTTGGATTCTTTGATTACTTTGATATTTTAATTGATTCAACCGTTGGAGTATTAATAACCATGGCGGGTCAATAATACATTTCTGTCGCTAACATCGGGCTTATGTTAATTAGTAAGCACCCTTTTCGCGTAAATATGGTTATTAAGAGTTAGGCTCTTCTAAAATTTAATAGCGTATTCACCGCGTTTAAAACGGACATAAAGCGGAGATAAGTGGCGCGGAAAAAGGTTTACGAGAGTCTACAAACGATAATTCTCTCGGTCTCACCGACAGATTTCCCTAATCTGTGCCGATGCAGGACGAGGTCTCTATGAATGAAGTCTCTGTACACGGCGACATCCATCGATTAACTCTCACGAAACTTTGGCGAAAGGATTCTCGAAATAGCGATTTAATCGTTCGAAACTCTCTCTCTCTCTCTCTCTTTCTCTCTTAGTTTCTTGAGAGAAATTGCTTTAGGTTTCTCATGGTTTCTCGATGCTGTATAGCATCGACGGAAGGAAGTCCTCCTTTCTCGAAAATCGCCAGTCACGAGTATTCAAACTTCCTGCGAACCTCGAAAACAGTTACTTTATCGCGTGGGAAGCGGAATTTTAATGGCACTTGCGTCTTCGCTAATTCCTCGTGATTACTTCGACGTTCATTCGAAATTCCATTTTCTTCGACAATCTGCCACGACTTTGACGTATATAGTTGCTGAGATTTTAACCTATCGGTATACGATGGAACGACAACTTATCTTCAGAGTCTCTCGGATGTAATTGAAAAAAGATTGACAAGTAAAAGGAATACAAGTACGATGTCTTTCAAAATTGTATTTACGTTGGAAAAGACTTTGATCTTTTGTGTCAAGGCTAGTAATACTGTAAAAGATTGTGTAGAAAATTTTCTGAAAAATTATTTATGTTGCATAAAAAGAAATTATAAAGTGCTTTTTGAAAATGAAAAAATATAATTTAAAAAATAAAGTTTATATTTTCAGATCTTTTTATTTTCTAAATCTATTATAAAACGTCGATATAATCTAATATTTAAAAGTATTGTTATATTATAATTGAACCGGACTTATCTAAATTATTGCAAAAATTTCGGTCTGTTAATATTCATTACATCCACTGTAATTGCAATGTAATTTTAGCCGATGTAATTTTAACCGATATCAAATCGTAAATAATCTACGGCTTATCGAGTCACGCAATATGTACTTCACATACATATTGTGTACTATATTTTTTTGCAGCAGCAACCTACGATATAGATTATACAATGTGCGTAAATATTTACAGTGTCAAATAAATGCGCTGAAAGAGGTCCGCGTTCAATCTTCTTACTTGAAAAACTCTATACATAGACTGATTACCTCGCAGCAGTGTATTATGATATCAAGAATATTTTTTATTAAGTATTGACTTAACAATGCAATTAATTAAATTGTCATAATTTACTAAAATAATTATTATTTTATTATTATATACAATTCTTTTATTGCAAAAATTATTTCCAAAATACTTAAGAAAATATTTTGACTTACATTCGACAAATTTAAAAATCAATTGTTATCTTACAGCGTATGTTAAAATTACTGAATTAATCCCTAAATTAGTATCCTTTAAATAAATAAAATAGTGCCTATAATATATATCTATATATATATCTAAATTCGCCAATATTAATTTTTCTTGTCGAGATGTTATAACTGCGACTATGATGTGATAAAAGAAAATCGCTAATTAAGGAATTGATTAATCTGCAAATCATACGTGAAGTGCGCATAAAATTGAAACAGCTGAATATATTAGAGGAAAAATTTATATTACATTTGCAATCGCGGACGCCCTATGAATTACACATCATCGCGAGTTCGTTATTTACCCGATTCTCCGCGCCTGCGAATATACGAGTGTGTTTCATGTACACACGGACGCAGTTAAAGGCCGGTAGAATATCGCTCGTATGTTCAACCAGAAGCTCTTAATTATACGGGCGAGCTGTAAATTTGAAATGTTTGGTCGAGCAACGACTGGACGCTATGAATGCGATAAATCAAAACGGCTGGGATACTGGAAATCCCCGGAAAGCCATACGACGTTGATAAAGCAATTCCTTCTCGAGCAAGCCGTTCATATAGCGTATATTAATTGAATATCCATAATTTTTACTATCGCCTCTCTCTCTCTCTCTCTTTCTCTGTATATACACAACTCTTTTTATAGAATTAAATTGATTAAACTTTTATGGAGATTTCTCCGTGTATATATGTATAGCATGCAAAGCAAAAAAAATGTCATGTTTTCGTATCGTGATTACGTAAACACAGATCTCTTACGTGGCGTGTATCCACATCTTGTCTCATTTATCTCAATCATAAATTCCATGTCACATTGCAATATAAGCATTATCTCATTTATCCTTATCTAATACATACATCAAACTTTTTAAAAACTTACAGAGCAACAAATTTTTTTCTTTGGCAACTTTTTAGCAACAAATGAGCAACAAATAAAAATATTAATTAGAATTGATTCTGCTCATTTTGTTCCGCTAACTTATAAGACGTATCAAACACGAGCCTCACGTATGAGCGACACCTGCTTTATCCCGTCTCTTATATGCGTCTAATTCTGACAAATTATATGGTATAACAACGTTACATTATGGCAATTCAACTGCGCAATAATGCCGAGATTATGGTACATGATAGATCTTTCAGAAAAAAAAAATATAATGCTCTTTTTTTCCAACGATGGATAAAAGTGCATTTTAATGTCGGCCGTTGTTTACGGCCTCTAACGAATGAGGACTCTATGCTGGACCGCCAATTAAATCAGCTTCAACGAACAAATCAATATTTCAAGGTTTCACTCGTATCGGCAAGAATCGTTGGAAGTGCATTTGACGATGCATAGTCGTTGCTGGTCTCTCAATTAAATCGCACTTCGATGAATCGTATAAATATAGTCAATTCAGAGAAAAATTATACTTCATAAACATGTAATCGCATATGCGCTCTTGGCGTTTTATTGCACATCAGTTTTCCTCCAAAGGAAATACGTATGAATTTTTTAACACGGATATTGGTAGTCTCAAGACCGAACCCATATGTTCGTATTATCCGCAATAAAAATAAACGTACAATATATTACTCATCTGCGCGCCACGAAAAAAATTATATTTCATTCAACGTAAACCTCGAAGGATCTAAAGGCGGTACTACATAGGAATTATTTTCAATCTCTTACTGGTAAATAGTTAATTGCATACTCAAGTAAATTACATATTTATATTTATTAAATTTAATAATTTTGTCTAAAATTCCTGATGCTGGGAATAAATTTATATTTGACATGAAAAAAAAAATTAATTTAAAACTTATTGTATTTTAAAACATATGTAATATATATATATATATATATATATATAACATTTATATTATATAATTATTCTATCTACATATTTTGCAAAATCATTTATAAAAATTCGTCAGATTTATAAAAATTATATTTATACTCGAATGCAAACTTAAATCCATAAACTTCATCGATCGTTTAATCGTTGTCTTGTGTCGCTGATGACAATCACGCCAGGCATAGTTACGGTACGACAACGATGTACCAAAAATAAACGATTTCACGATGGACGACATCG